AGGACAAAAAGGAAGAAAAAACAAAAGGCGAAAAAGAAAAGAGCAGACAACCCCCTCGCATCCCCTCCCGCCCTGCTATCTCGTCCGCCCTTCTTCCCAAAGAGGAAACAGTGGACGTGGACCGCAACGGACAAGCATGACCTACCCAGCCTACCGCAGGGCGCCCGCTCACCAACCGGTCTTAGACTTGCGGGCGACCAGACCCTTCCACGTGAATTTCGAAAGCCCGAAAAGACCCCGCCAGAGCTTCATTGCGGTCGACGACAACGACAAAAAGACAATTGCAACTGAGTTAGGCCACTGGATTGCAGGAAAGTTCAAAGGCCCCAGGGGCATGGGGCAAATTTTTCAAAAAAGAAAAATAGAGTATTTTTCACGATTTTCAAGACTGGTGCGAAGACCCATTACCGGCCGCGAACACGTAAGGGGCTTGCATGCATCTCCCCGTGCACCGTTCTTTACCATACTGTGCGGTCGTTAGCAGCCTTCTTGTCACACAGCGCGGTAGTTAGCAGCTTCATTGTGGTCAGCAATTTCGAATCGAGCGAACGAGTGTCCTGGAGGCCCTTCTCCTTTGTCCTCCTACAGGGTTGCTGTGCACGTCTCCTCTTCGGGATCTGTCACGTCTTCCGTCTGGTGAGTGTTTGGTTATCCTGCGCGTAAGGAACTTCGCCTCCTACTCCCCCTGCCCTCTTGCTTATCATCTCGCTTTTCCGCATCTGCCTTCTGTTCTGTTCTTTCGGGTTCGCTCGTCTTTTTACCCATCACTTAATCGTCATCGTTCTCTTCCTGGCTCTCCCTTCCGTAGGCGAGGATAAGCCACGCTTATGGCGTATTCACAAGTGGACTTTCCTATCTGACCCCAAATACGGTCAGATTCAGTGCAGCATGTCGAATTGTGAGTAGAGGATGCGGAGAGGTTAAGATCGGGCGGAGGACAGAGTTCTCCTTGAACAGTCGTTGGGGAACACCGACTTATGCTTGTACGTTTTTTTGGTGAAGGAAGTAAGTATGGTTTGAACAGTCGTCAAAGGGGGCGGATTTGAATTTGAAAGGAAGTATATTCAATTGCGAGAGTCAGACGGGATTTGAGAGGGGAACACAGACATATGGTTGTACGTTTTTTTGGTAAAGGGTGTAGCGTCTAGCATTATTTGTGTCCATCGGATTCCATCGGGATCGAACTCATGATCTGTTCGTCAACTCTTAAATGTGTGTACCATTATTTGTGTCCATCGGATGCCATATCCGGATTCAGCCACATGGCCTGGTTGTACGGTTGTACGGTTGTTTGTAAAAGGCAATCCTCGAACATAGAGTATGGGTCTCGCTGCACTACTCTCGACATGCACAAAAGACAAAAATCATGGCGGTGCATCTTTCCATATTCTAGCGGAAGTTTCACTCTCGTTTTGCACATTTCGAGAGTAGTGCAGTGAGGCCCTATGTCGCCCTCGTTCGCTTCTTCAATTTCCCTTTTACCCCTCCTCTTCGGACTTCTGCAGCCCCTCGTGGTCCCTGCCAACTCCATCTTTGTTCAACTCGTCTATCTTTGTGCTGAGTGGAAGTACTCTCGTGGAGTACCTGCTCGGTGCAAGTAGACGGGGGGTGAGGAAGGGGCTCCTTGGTCTCTGCCTGTATATCGGCTATAAGCGAAGGGCGAATGATGATAGTGTAGATGGATGTCGACGATTTTGTTGAATGATGGTAAAGATGATGATGATGATGATGATGAGATGCACGACAATATGGGGGTGGTGATCATGATGGGTGATCGGTATGATTGGTGATGGTTGATGGTTGGTGATGATCGATGATGAAAATGACGGATGGTGATGATGGTTGATTGGCGGTTGTGATGGTGATGGTGTCGGAGACAATAACAGTTCAAGACGGTGGGTGACAGATTGATGAAGGCGCATGCGATGGCGCCGTCTTCCTTCCCTACTCTCCCCTCCTCGTCTCCTCTTTTGCCTTCTCCACCTCCTTTCCTCAGCCACGTGTCCCGGTCACAGAACCCTCAGCCACGTGTCCCGGTCACAGCACCCTCAGCCACGCGTCCCGGTCACAGAACCCTCAGCCACGTGTCCCGGTCACAGAACCCTCAGCCACGTGTCCCGGTCACAGAACGCTTATTCTCGTGGATGACCTCGGCGATCTCTGGGATATTTTGACGTTCTGGAAGTAGCATGGACGATGAGGCAAAAAAAAGGGAGAAGGAGAAGGAGAAGGATGTCCAGGAAAAGAGGAAGAGGTTTATTCAGGAATTTTCTATCAACAAACAATTGTGATAGGCGAGAGGGGGGGGATGGATGGGTTTTGAGAAGGAAACGGTCTAGAAGCTTCCGGTGACAATTCGTTTCTGAACGACTCATTCTTCTCCTTCCTTTCCTCTTCTCCTCCTCCTCGTCCTCCTCGTCCTCCTCCTCCTCCTCTCCCTGTCCTACGTATCTCCTTCCTCTCTCTGTCCTCCTCCTCCTCCCATCTCCTCTCTCGCAATCTTGCACTCTTGTGCTCTGTTTCTTTTCCTCTATCGATCAGCACGAGTACGACCACTAACGCGCCCTAACCAATCAGCGACAGGACTGTCCCCCTCCTCCAATCTCCTCCTCCTCCCTCCCCCTGTCTTGTCTGAAGAGTGTTTTCCACCTTCTTTTATGGGCCGCAAGCTTCTCAACGGTGTCCTGTTTGAGTGGGAAATGCCCCGCAAGCCCGTCAAGCCGCAAAGGACCGAACAGTTGGGGTTAAGATAATCGTGGCGGCAAATAGGGTGGAAACGTTATGAAACGTGCGGGTGATTGTAGGGCAAGCGGAAGAAAAATAGTTGAAAAATGAAAAATTTGGGATGCACGGCCGCTCTGTTTTTCCTCCTATCTCTCTTTCTGGCGAAGCTCTGTGACAATAAAGCTACCAACTTAGAGCGGCTGCGCGCGCGCGCGTGTGTGCATGTGTGTGTGTGTGTGTGTGTGTGTGTGTGTGTGTGAGAGAGAGAGAGAGAGAGAGAGAGAGAGAGAGAGAGAGAGAGAGAGAG